GGGCGCGCGCACTGTAGCACGGCCAATGCACGCAGGGTGTCTCCGGGGAGTCGGGGCTGGTTGGCTCCCACGGGGGGGCGCTGCTGGGATCACGCTGCAGCCTGGCGGTGTCTCCCCGTGGACTCGCTCCTCCCCACCCCACGGGTAGAGCGGACGGGGTGGGCTGACCCGCGGTATCCTAGCTCTGGGGGGGCTCGAGCCTGTGCGAAGGGGCGGGAGCTGAGTCCCCGGGCAGGGCGATGTGGTTTGATGAGTGGAGGGAAGCGAGACAGGGTTGTCCCTTTGCTGTTATGGGGTGCTGCTGTGCAGAAAATGGGGGGAAGGATTGAGCCCTGCCATGGGTGTAGGGGTGCCCTCCCCCATGCCAGGGCCCCTGCTCACCCTCTCTTCTCTCCCCCACAGGTCTTCCTGCTCTGCCCCCATCTCCTTACCTGCCACCATTCTTGCCAGCAGGAATCGCGGCCCCCGCCCATCACGCTCTGGCCCCTTGCCCTATTGCGCTGCGGCCTGCGTGAACCCGCACCTGCCCCACCATGTCAATGCTGGCAGTGCTGACCCTGGACCGGGAGAAGACTCCGCTCCCAGCTAGTGCCCTCTCCTGGAGGGCCGAGTTCCTCAAGATCCCTGGCCACAATGAGCCCATGCCAGGGGCCATGGATGGGCGCTATGCCCATGGCACAGAGACAATGATGCTGGCAGGTATAGTACTGGCAGGAGTGGGAAGTACTGGGGTGGGGGGAGATGGGGGGATACTGAGTGTGCTGCCTCCAGTGAGTTTGCCTCATGGATGCCTCATTAGGACATTAGAACCCTCCCATATGCCAGGCTGGGAGATCCCAGCCCTTCCCCATTGATGGAAATGGGGTTGCTGAGGGGTTATAGGATGTTTGCTCAGGTGTCTCAATGCCCATGGGGCACCTGGCTCCTAGGTGAGGCTGAGGCCAGGTCAGCAGAAGGCAAGCTGTAAAGCCTAAGGGGGCTTGCCTAGGCCTAGTACCTGCCTACTTAGCCCTCCCTTCTCCAGGCCAGCTGCAGCCAGGTTCCCTTCATTCCAAGGGGGGCAGCATGCTTGGTGCTGCTCTGTTCCTGACAAGGTTCCCCCATGCAGCCTCTAAGCCTGCTCTCTCCACACAGGCGATGGCTTCTCAGACTGGATGACGGAGAGGGTGGACTTCTCCTCTCTCCTGATGGAGTCAGGGGACCCATCGCTGCCCTCACCCCCGCTGCCCGACCTGGAGGCCATGGCCTCCCTCCTGAAGAAAGAGCTGGAGCAGATGGAGGACTACTTCCTGGAGGAGTCACTGTCCCCTGGGCTGGGCTTGGACCAGGTGGCCCCCAGCACACCACCTTCGCACCAGCCTGCCTTCCCCTTCTCCTTCGGGGATGAGAGCGGGCCAGCAGGATCCTTCCCACCCTTCGGCTCTGACAATCCCACACCACTGCAGACCCTTGACTCGGGCTGCCTGGAGCTCCTCAGCCTGTATGGGGCAGGGGTGCCTGGGGAGTGCCCTGGCCAGGGCCTGCTGGAGGAGTGTGCCAGTAGCCCAGCAGCCAAGCGCAGCAGGCCAAGCCCCTTGGAGCAGCCAGCAGCCCCCTGTGGGCCAGCCTTGCCCCAGCAAAAGGGGGACCGTAAGCAAAAGAAGCGGGACCAGAACAAGACAGCAGCACTGCGGTACCGGCAGCGGAAGCGGGCTGAGTATGAGGCACTGGATGATGAGTGCCAGGGCCTGGAGGCCAGGAACCGTGAGCTCAAGGAGAAGGCAGACTCCATTGAGCGAGAGATCCAGTATGTCAAGGACCTGCTCATTGAAGTCTACAAGGCCCGGAGCCAGAGGCTCCGTGCCAGCTAGGGCAAGGGTCACCTAGCCCAAACTCCACCCCAGGTCTAGAGCATGACCTGCAAGTCAAAGGGGGAGGGGCTCTGACAGATACAGAGCTTCAGACCTGGCCTCCAGGCATGGAGCACAATACACCCTAATGCAGTAGAGGGGGGGTACAGGGGATAGTGAGCTAGACAATGCTCTGTCTGGGTTAGAGAAGCAGTGTCTAGATGTGGGGAAGGCTGGGTGACACTGACCTGTGAGGGAGACCAGGCTGCCAGGCGTGTCAGCTCTCCAAGCACCAGCATTGCCTGTGCCAGCCTGCCCTGCCTCCAGGGAGGGATGTTGGGGGAAGGGGGCTGGAGTGAAACAATGGCAGGAGAGGGGTGCTGCTGTGGCAGAGAAGGGATGTGTAAGAAAGGTGTGGGGTGGGGGTGCTGGGGAGATACAGTGAGGGTGCATGTGAGACAGGCAGAGTCATGTACAAAACCACTTGTATAGACTTTTTTGTAGCTTTCTTTATAGAGCATAAAAGCCAATAAAGACTATTCCTGCATTCAGGCTGTGCACTGTGTGTGAGAGCACCCCCTCTTCCTTGGGGGTTGGGGCTCCCACTGCACTCAGCCTCAAGGGCGTAAACTTCCCCACCCCACTTCTGCCATTGCTGCTAGAAGCAGAGCCCTCCATTGCATCACAGGGCTGATAGTGTCCACACCTGGCTTTCCCTGCACAAAGGCTGGGTGCTAAGAAGGAGATGAAGGTTTATTGTATACAACAATGCTCATTACAACTGAACAGATGCCACTGCCTTAGGCCATTTCCCTTCCCTCCAGGGACTCCGTGCACCTGGGGAAGGACAAGAAGAGCTCTGGGCCTTAGCACCAGGGGCAGAGAAGGAGGTAGGGAGTCTATGGCACTCACTCATCCATGCCCTGGCAGCCACAGGGGTCTCCTACCCCCTCCTGGGCTCCCCACACCAGCACTAGTAGAAGTCCTCCTCCTCAGCCTTCTCTGCAGGCTGCTGGTTCTGAATCTGCTGCTGCTGCCTGTAGAGCTCAGCCACCTGCAGCCAAGAAAGAGAGGGATGGAAGCTGCCAACCACATGGCTTGGAGAAGGAGGTGGGCCTAACTCTGAGAGGCTTCATCTCCATTGCTGCCCCCACAGACAGGAAGATGCTCATCTGGAACTGTGCCCATCAACTCACCAGAGAAGCTCAGCCAGGTCCTGCTGCCCCGAGACAAGGCCAGTAACAACCTATAGGCCCATGCTGAGCTGAGCAATGGGCCCTGCTGTTGGGAGGGACAGCCCCCTGCCTGCAGTGAGGCACAGCAGCCTGGCCATAGGAGGGATTTAGCCAGGATGCTGGGATCAGCACGCTGACTGGGCTAAAGTGCTGTGAGGGCATCAGCTTACCATCTTGGAAAGAGCCCCTTAGAGCCATGCTGGAGCATTAGGGCCAACACTGAGGGGCTCATGCCCCTTACTGTGCCCCCCCCGCTCCCTGTAGCAAAGCACCCCTAGCACAGTGTCAGTCAACACTGCACAGTGAGCAATTTCTGCTGGGCCCAGCCTTTGTCCTGGAGGTCACCCCCAGGCACTGCTTGTGAAGGAGAAGGTGATAGGCATCCTCCTCCTGTGTGCAATGTGCATGCCAGTCTAGGGCTGCCCTGGGCACAGGCCTCTAGCACTAGTTCCCAGCAGAGCAGTAGCCTCAAGTCCAGCTGAGGAGAGAGGAAGGCACTCTGCAGACTTAAGCCACTTGTCCCACCCCTGCCCCATGTGCTACCTGGGAACTGGTGGTGGCTTCCTCAGGCTTCTTGTCATCACGCACGCGCAGGAACCGGGGAAAGCGCAGGGAGATGCCCTTCTCCTCATCCACCTGAGGGCCAAAAAGGGCCTGTGAGACATGGATGGGGCCAGCTGGGCACCTGGGGGAAGGTTGGGAGGATGCTCCCAAGCTGTGAGGGAAAGGGTAGAGCCCAGGGTCACAGGGGTGCTGTGAACTGACTGGGCCAGCAGCCCAGGATTAATGATGAGGGGTTCCACTCCTCACAATGCAGGGACAGCAGCCCCAGATGGTCCATTAGGGAAGGCCCGAGGCTGGTCCCATACTGCAGGCTGATTGCAAGTTCTGCTCTGGCCTCTCCCTCCTCCCACTACAGGCCCTGCCCCAGACTCACCAGGCCTATAGCTGCCTTGTGCACAGGCGAGATGGACAGGTCAGCACACTTCACTTCCCACACCTGCACAGCCGCCAGCCAGTGGTTGGGCTCAGTGCTGCTGTCCCAGCGGTAATAGGGCCGTGGCTTCTCTAGCACGTGGTCCTGCCAGTCAGAAGGGAAGGGTTACAGGCCCAGCTGTTCACCAGAGATGCGCATCTAACTCCAGGCACACTCCAAAACAGCTGCTACACAACTGCAAGAGACCCTGGGAGCCAGGACTCCTGGGTTCTAGCCCCAGCTCTGGGAGGGGAGTGAGGTCTGATGGTTAGAGCAGGGGGCTGGGAGCCAGAACTGGGTTCCACCCAGGGCTCTGCCACTGATTTGTCTAGAGGCACTCAACCAGTCTCTCACTGCATGCAGAGGGGTTAAAGAGCTTCCCAGAGCCTGGGAGTTACCTCTAGCAACCAGCAGGGGGTTCTGAGAAGCAGGCTCAGGGCAGGGAGCCAGGGCTCAAGAGGGCAATGTTCATGCCCCTCAACAGCACCCAGCAGCTGGGCTGAGCTAGCAATAGGGGAGTTCTCTGTGAACAGCCCTGCAAGCTAGCTCTGGGCCAAGTCTCCTACCTTCAGGAAGCTGTAATGCTTCTCCAGGCTCTCTTCTGTGAAGCCAGTCCCAATCTGGTGGAGAGAACAGGGCATTACTGTTATAGTAACAGCCCTCCCCAACAACCTGGCCTGCTCACCCCTGTCACCCCACCGCACACAACCCCCCTCTGCCAAGGCTGCTCACCACCGCCCCTGCGTATGACCCTCCTCTCCCCAAGCCTTCTCACCCTGCCACCCCACTGCATACAACCCCCCTCCACCAAAGCTGCTCACCACCACCCCTGTGCATGACCCTCCTCTCCCCAAGCCTGCTTACCTCTGCCATTGCCCCCTGCACGATCCCACACTCTCATTCCCCCTCAGCATGCTCACTTGCACCTCCTACACAAACCCCCCCTCCAAGCCCACTCATCCCCAGCCTGTTCACCTCCACTCCCACCTCCCAGCCCCAGCATGCTCATGCTCACCCTTACTCTCCCTGGCATACCCACCTCTCCCACTCTTGGCCCACTGGGGTTCCCCCCCCCGCCACGAGAGCCATTCTCTTTCCTCTGGCCTGTTCCACTGCCCTCAGATGGGCCTGACGCACTGCACCCAACAGCCATCCCCCAACTGCTAACATCCCCCTAACCCAGGAAGGGAGCTGGTTTCCTTCCCCTGCTCCTGCCCACAGGCAGCAGCCCAGAAGGGGGCCCTAGAGAGGGCAGGGCTGCTCTGCATTCTCACCAAGAGTGCTTAGTGTAATCCCAAATCACAGCCCCATCCATGGGGCACAGAACAGCATGGGAGCCCAACTCCCAGGGGCCCCGTGGCAATCCCAGCCTGAAGGCTCCCAGCCCTGTGCGAGGAGCCCACGCTCCCTACCTTGCAGATGCTCTGGTACTCCTCACTCTCCTCATCATAGCAGGCCAACAGGAAGCCACCATATATGCCTACTCGCTTGCCCTTGCCCAGATAGGCACCAATCACCACCAAGTCCAGAGTGTCACCAACACCTTCCAGGTAATCCTTCTTCAGCTGCAACAGGAGAGCCAGCCTCAGCAACAGCATATGTGGGACACAGGGCCTTTCTCCTCTAAGGGCTGCCTGCTCCAATCCAGCCACAGGTGGGGGGACTGGCTGGTTCAAAAGGGTGGGGAACGGAACTCTCTTCCAGGGGTCAACAGCTCCCATGCAGCCCCAGGGCAGCAGCGTAATGCAAAGCCATTTCCATGCAATGATAGTTTGCTGTCCCTACATCATGGGAGAGGGAACTCTGGCTGGAGCAAGTGCAACTGAAGGAGGCAGGATGTGGATCTCTCAGTTGATGCCAACTTGTGTCCCCAGAGCTGGGGCTCCTCACCCTGCTGCCATTGTCCTAGATGGATGTGCCTTGGCACCGGGCAGCATCCAGGGGCCCAGAATATGGTTAGCTGCCTCCAACCCACTCAGACGCCTCTCCCCACGGCCGAGCCTGAGCAATGCCCCCCCTCCACATTGTGGGATAGCCTGTCCCCTTCCCACTGCCAGAGCTTCTTGGAGCCCCCCTCCCCATCTGGAACAGCATGTCTCCTCCCCAGTGCCAGAAACCCCAGTGGAGTAGCAATAGAGGGGTGGTGGCTGAGTGGTTAAGGTGCTCAACTACAAACCTGAAGGTTTGAGTCGCACTCAATCTCACTCTGAAAGCCCACCTCCGGTTCACCCAGTTGCAAAATGGGTACCTGATCCATTGGGTTAGGGTTGCCTATGGTGGTTGGATATGATGTTGGCCACATCACTCCCTTGTGTGCCACTGGCTGAGAAACTGACCTGCCTTAACCGCATCAGCCTAATGAGCCCTTCTTCACCTGCACGGGGTGGGAGAGGTGTCTCAATGCATGGAAGGACAGGAGGCTCAGCTCTAGTGACTCCTAGATTGACAAGCTCAGCAAGAGACTAGGAGGTGACCAGCAGGGATAAGTGTGGGCTCTGGAAGAAGCTTCTCTTGCTCTCTCCTGGGAACTTACTATGGAAAAGACAGAGCCTGAAAAGGTCGTTCACCACAGCTTGGCTGGGCTTAGGGCTGACCAAAATGGGCTCTACTTGAGCTTTCCTCTCTCTATGTTACACTAAGAGCTTCCTGTGCTGTGTGCCACTGACTTGACTGCCAGCGAACTGGGACATGTGGTCCCCACTCCACCAGCAAGGGCTTTCTCACCTTCAGCCACTTGTGGGATCTCTTGGCGATCTCGTACGTGGCATCCACCTCCAGGGTCTTGACCATGAGGCCCTCGCAGGAGTCTGCAAGAGAGGATGGTTACCAAGGCCTGGCAGGCAGAGTGGCGTGCCCCATCTCCCCTCACCCATTGCCAGTGCTTAATCCATTCTCCCTGACAGGCAGGGCAGTGCATCCCCCCCCCCCCCCCCCCCCCCCAGCTCACCTTTGATGGACTGGTCAAGAAATTCAGAGATCTCGTCCAGGCTGCAGGTGTCCATGGAGGTGGCAAACATTAATTCCCCCTCTGTCTCCACAAAAGACTCATGCAGCAGCTGACGGCGCCTGGAGAATGGCTCCTTCACTAGGGACTGCAGGGACAGAGGGGCACCGTGCTCGGTCACAGGCAAGTGAGGGGACATAAGGGATGGGGCAGATAGCATGTGGGGGGTTGCAGTGAGGTGCAGACAGTAGGGGTGAGGCCAAGGGGATTAGGGAGCAGAGGCAGGACACTCACCTCCCCATTGAGGTACAGAATGTCGAAGGCATACAGACACACCTGCACTTTGATCTCAGCAGCTTCCACATCCTGAGGAAACAGCCAGCAGCAGGAGTTACTGCCCTGCTTTGTCCTCCTCATGAGCCCTGCTCTCTTCCCCCGCCCACTCTGTGCCACCAGCCCCACTCTCCCCCCCACTTCACCTGCCCACCCAGGGACCAGCCCCACGCCCCTCTCCGCAGGAACTGCCCCTCACCTTGCGTTTCCGCGTGGTCAGGACCTGGAAGGGTTGAATCTGCCTCTTCTCGGGGTCCCAGGCCACGGCCTCAGCATCCAGGATACACGACCGCACGCTGCCCTTCTTCACCTGCACAGGGGGGTGTCAATGCATGGAAGGACAGAGGGCTGGCTCACGGTGCCAATAGCACTGCAGCCCCCAGCCTGTATCCCTGCCCCACCGCCTTCCGTTTCCTGCTGCTCGGGGGAGGCGAGGGAGGAGAACAACACCCACCCTTTAAGTGTTCCTGCCTGTCGGCACCCCCCAGCACTGTATGTCTCCACTCCCTTACCTTGGGGATGCGGCTGATGATGTCAGGATATTTGGAGGTGTTGTCCTCCTGGTTGCGGCTGTAGATGTGCACATCCCCATTCTCCAGGATGTGGATCTGGGCAGGGAAGGGGCACAATGAGACACAGTGGAGGCTGCGGGGGGAGGGGGGATCCCCCCATGGTTTCCGGGTATGGCATTGTTACCTGGGCTCGCTCCCCATCATACTTGTACTCGCAGGTGAAGGCAGCCTCCTCAAAGCGCTTCAGCACCTCCCCAATGCCCTTGGTGGGCTGGGCCAGCATGGGCTTCAGCGGGATCCCTAGGGAGGCCACGCACTGGGGCATCAGGATCATCAGCACGTGGATGGCAGCAGCATCCAGGGGCCGTGGCCAGGAGCCAGACCCCCTGCACCAGGCACTGCACACACATCACCGCACTGGGCACTGCCCCACAGCAGTCTGCCTGACCCCATCTCCCCGTGCCAGGTGGGCCCTGCACATACACATCACGCCAGGCCCTGCCCCACAGCACAGTCTGTCTGTCTGTCCTGCTCCCCCACAGCACAACACTGGGCACTGCCCCACAGCAGTCTGTCTGACTCGCCCCCCACATGCCAACTGACTCTGACCCAGCCCCTCCCCAATCCAAATGGGCACTGCACACTATCATAGCGCCTGGCCCTGCCCCAGCGTACAATCGAAGGAGGGGTGCAGATGGGAAGGGGGGGCTATGCCATGGTGCAGGAGGCGCCAGATGGGGGCCTCTGGTGCCAGGGAGCTGACGGTACCTGGGGTGATCTTGCAGTGCTGTGGCAGGCTCTCCACTCCATGCTCCAGCAGGATGGGAACTATGATGTCATAGCTAGGCAACTCACTGAAACACAAACACAGATGAGGCCTCCTGCCAATCTCCAGTGCGCTCACTCCCCGCACTCTGTCCTATGGGGAAGCACCAGGACCTCACACAGCCCCAGCCCACCAGAGCTGGGGTCAACAGAGCTCTCTGGATGGCTCGGTGACAATGCTTCTGACAGCTTCCCTTATCTCACCCACCGCCCCGGCGCTGCCCTTGGGCACCACTGTGAGGCAGCCCTGAATTGCAACAGCCCGGGGCAGCCCTTCTGGGATAAGCCACCAGGCTCATGCATTTCTGAAGACTCCCTGCTTTGTAGCTCTCTCTCCTGGAGCATCACAGAGGCCTGTTTTCTCCAACAGGACCCAGCTGCCAGGCTCTGTGCTGTAGAGCAAGGTGAGAATACTAACTCCTGGGAATCAGGCTAGCTGGGGACCAATTTATCTGTGCTCCCCTAACAGCCAGGTAGCAAGCTCGAGTGCAAGTAATTCTGCACGGAGAAAGAGAAAACAAGAGAAAATGAACAGCGGAGACCAGGTTTGTTTGTGGAAGCAACTACCCCCCATGCAAAGGCATCCAGAGGGGTCAGTCAGCACACCAAGGAAGCACTTTGCAGAAGTACTGCATGCCACTCAAAGCAGCCAGGTAACAAACACAAACTACACTGCAAGGCAGGTGCAGGGGAGAAGCTCCCAGGGGAGGAGGCGGCTATGGAGCAGGGCTCACCGTGGGGTTTCTCTGAATGGATGAAATGAGGTTCCAGTTGGTAACACAGGAGAATGAACACACAGCGGCACTGGAGCAGAGCGTAACCTCTCGACAGTGAGTGGATTCAAGTCCCCAACAGGGTGCGTTTCATACAGCAAGCTCACAATGAGCCCCTTTGGCAAAGCAGCACTGGTCTCCCCTCACAAGGACAGACCCACTGGGAGATGGTAAAAGAGCCACAGGAGAGAGCAGTTTGCACATACAGATGATCAGAGTAGTGCATGAGCTGCCCATTACACAGGAGCTAAAGGTATTCTAAAAGGAGCTGGGAGCACGATGCGGCAGGATACAACCCATCCCCAGAGAGAGCCCCATGTGCAGCCATGCACCCCTCAGCACTGAAAGCCAGAGGAGACGGTGCACTTAGCGCTTCTGGAGGGAATTCGAACACCAGCTGGCACTCCCTGGAACAGACCCTACCAGCCAAGGATGTGTGTGGATCCCATGCCCATCACCTGCCACCCCAGGAAGAGCCCAGCTTCCAGGAGGGATTCAAAAGGATTTGTCAGCCCAAAGCAATACTGAGATGGAAGAATGCTGCTCTTTGGGCACTGCCTTTGCCCTGGGGAACCAGCCGGCAGGGATCAGAGTGGGATGACAGCATGTGGCTGCCGATCTTGGGGAGAAAGGGGAGATCCTCAGCATGAGCCCCGAGACAACAGATCTTACACAGCCCTGCAAGGGCAGGAGGACATTGCTCTGCTACAGCCCCCACACCAACAGTGCTGGTGATACAGACTAGTTCTTCAAGCAAGGCCATGCTGACCTACTCAATGCCCCAAGAGCAGCAGAACCCCCCGACAGCCAGACCCCCAGCCCACCCTGCATGCCATCCCCAGGGCATGATGCCAGCCCCTATCCCCACCTCTGGGGAGTCCTGAAGATGGAGATGGAAGGCTGGGGGTCTTGCTGGTCATGCTCTGGCAGCTGCCCTAGCATAAGGAACTCTGCATGGCTGTTGCTCTGCCCCCACCCTGGTATGGGAAAAGGCAGCACTCACCAGAAGGTCTGTTTGAGGATCTGGGTCTGCTCCTCCAGCCAGGCTTTGCGTGCCTCTGCAGATTTGCCCTGGCCAGCATCCAGCACCTCTGGGGGAAACCCTGCAAGAGAAGCACACGTTACTTCCTGTGAAAGTTATTAGTGACCCCCCTTAACAGCTAGCAGCCGTTATGTCAGCCAGCGGCCATTAGGGGGAAGCAGACACCTCAAGTACACAGTAGCCTGAACTTTTTAACTGTTTTTTTTTTTTTTTTTAAGGCCTTAAGGTAGTTAGAGCTGGTCCCAAGCCAGTTTTCACTGACCAGATAGCAAAAGTACAGGGTCTGGCAACCACCAATCAAGTGTTAACATGGCAAGGGCCTTTGTCTGAATGTGTATAAAGGATCTGTAAAATGTGTGTAAGACAGTTTTTGTACTAAGGTGCAAAGCTCTCCTTTCTTCTGCAGAATAAAGCAACTCCTCCTTATCCCTGTCTGGCTGTTATTAGCTCTCAGCTAGGTGGACCCGATATTTCGGTGACAGTTTCTGGCGACTCCGCTGGGACCCTCCTAGCTCGGACATTGAACTCCGGACGGCTGCGGCGAACTGAAAACGGCGCCAACGGGGTGTTTCGCCCCTTTTCTCTGCTTCACCGCAGCCCCTGGGGTTCGTGTTCCGATAAGGTGAGTCCTAATAGAATAAAAAAACACTATCTGGTTCTATTCTGGTTAACTGGTTAATAAATTTCTGTCTTATACATTTGGGCGTTAGATGTGTGGACGGAACTAAGCCTCTCATTCGTAATTCCTCAAAGTAAAAGCCATTGCGTGCGATGAAGCTCTAAGGTCGAATTGGGATCCTTCTGTCCCGTCCCCTGTAGCGGTCAGTATTAGTAAAAATTCCTGGAGTAAAATCCTATTAGGCCATAATTCCCTCTGTTCTCTGTGTAATTCTCTGTCAGCAGGCAAATGGGTGGGTCTCTGGTAAAACCCTCTAAAAATAGTCCTTTGAATTATATGTTAAGTAAATGGCCTTTACCCGGTGTTCAAAAAAAAAAAAATAGTTACACCTTGTGTAAAAATTAATGTGTCTAGTGTTGTAAAAATTAAATTGTGGAGAAAATGTGCATTTTCCCCAGAACATGTGCAGTGTATATTGTAGTAAAGGTAAAAAAAAAATGCAAACCTACCAATATAGGTTGTGTTGTCTTTTTCAAATTACTGTGTGTTTAAAAGCAAAAGTTAAAAGTAAAAGGCAATCAAAAGTCTAAAAAAGTTAATTGTGTCCCTTTTTAAGTAAGAATCTTTAAGCTGTAAATAGCTTTAAATCTAAAAGCAAGCCAAAAAGCATCTGTATTAATGCAATTTTCTAACTAATAAGGTAAAAGCCACTAAAACCTGGGCTGCCTATAAAACAAATACAAGGAAATATGGGGTAATTCCTCTGTTTTGCCTAAAATCAACAAAAGTATGTGTATATAAAAAAAATATTTTAAGCAATAACTAACTGCCCAGAAGGGGTAAACCTCTGTTCTTTTGTCTTTCAAATCATCAGAGAAAATGGATGCCAGCTGAATAGCATTCAACGTACCATGCATTTACTGGCACAATAGGAATTATTTTTGGGTTCTATGGCCAAAATTGTTGTTAAAATTTGCATACCAACAGTCTTTAAAAGCAAGAACATAAAAGGTTAACCCACTCCCCATATTGCCCATGGGATCCTTCTGGCTACCTCAAATTTCTAGCCAGAGGGCTGGGGAGAAAGGAAAGCTATTAAACACCAAAGGTTGTACCGAGTGGACTCCTCAAAAGTGTGTGTGCTTGTCCTGGTTTGTTGCTCCAAAGGTCTGTAATAAAGTTATTTTACTAAAAGGATGGACATGGCATACATTAAGTAATAAAACTAATGTAATGTATAACGGCAATGTGTATGTGTTCATTGTTGGGAAAAGGTGTATAAGTAAAAAGTAAAAATTTCCTTTGTAGGTTAAAAAAAAGCCAAAAAAAAAAAAAAGGTAACTAAAAAAAAATAGCTAGCAAGCTCAGTCCAAAAATAAGATGCTGGCCCCATCCAAGGACACTGCCCACAGCTAAGACTTGGCTAACAGCCAAGAAAAGGGGGGCCTAAATGTGCCCAAGCAACTATAAAATCTGCAAAACACTGCCAGGCATTAATAAAATGTGTTAGGTTTCTTTTCTCACAGACAAAAGAAGTGCTACCCAAAGACCCTAGCAGCACTGCCATTCATTGAAACAAGGAGACTAAGTCTATGTAAAAATCCACCAACGAAAGACTGCTTTGGCTCCATGCTGGAAAGGCCCTTTCCAAGTGCTGTTAACCACCAACACCGCTGTAAAGTGCCAAGGACTTATGCTTGTCACTGTAAAAAGACCCCTCCACCTCGGAAAAACTCTCCGACTAATAAGCCTATTTCTCCTTCTAGCTCTGCTGTGCCTTCTGGACAGCAGGAAAAAGGAAAAAAAGACAAGGTAAAGTGCTAGTAACCTCTCCCTTGTACACTGACAGACCTACTGTGCCTTTAAATTTTTATTAAAAAAGCAAAACCATTACAGGGTAATGTGCTGGTAACCTCTCCCCTGTATAATGCAAAACCATAACTGTTTAAAAAAACAAACAACAACAACAACACTTGCTCCATTAAAACCACCAAAGTCCAGGAATTCCTGCCTACAAAAAACATTAAAAACTAACCCTGGTAAAAAAAAAAAAAAAAAAATTATACACTGGCAAAAAAAAACTTGTGGGACCCATGCTTGGGAATGTGGTATAGTACTACACCAAAAAAAAATGTATTAAAATATCAATAAACTGTAATTAACACTACACTAAACTGTTAAATTTTCATTACCCTTATCCAGTTTCCAAATCACCTCTACATACCCAAATTGCTCACAGGGGGCTGCCATTAAATTAGCACAACAAAGGGCTTAGGTTAGTTCCTCTAAAAAAAAAAAAAAAAAAAAAAAAAAAAAAAAAAAAAAAAAAAAAAAACACGTAACCCAATCCCTTTGGGATGGGGCCAATAGTGCAGCAGCAGTTTAAAATATTTTTAAAAGCCAAAAACATAATAAAAAATTGGGGCAACTAAAAACAACCACTAGCCTTATTTCTGGGGCACAGCTAACCCAGGTACAGGCTGGAATTGGTAAGTTACATGTTATCTCCACCCTTAGTTCTATAACCCAAAAGTTGCTAACAAAAATGGTATTAAATATCACTAAGGCTGGGAAAGCATTGCAGTGAAATCTAGCATGTTCAGGCTTGGCCCACTGCCCTTACAAAGGCATCAAAAGTACCATCTAATCTGTGGCCATAAAAACATACTTAAAAACTTTCTGGGTAAAAGTGCGAACGTTCTCAATGCTCCTTCCAAGCATATAAACCGATTAGGGGGGTGTGGGCTCCCACATACCGAATCCCACCAGGTCCATAAAAAAAATGCATGTAAAATTGGATAATTCACCAAAACATCTAAAAAATTAAACTACCGCCGATGCCCGGTAAACTTGGCAACCACACAAAAAAAACTAAGGCAAATGGTTCTCCAGAACCGCTTGGCTCTAAATATCTTTCCCTCCAGCTTAATCGCAAATTGTGCAACGGGCCTGACAATTTTTGGGTTTGTCAGGCCCGAAGGGGGGAACTGTGAAAGTTACTAGTGACCCCCCTTAACAGCTAGCAGCCATTATGTCAGCCAGTGGCCATTAGGGGGAAGCAGACACCTCAAGTACACAGTAGCCTGAACTTTTCAACTGTCTTCCCTTTCAAGGCCTTAAGGTAGTTAGAGCTGGTCCCAAGCCGGTTTTCACTGACCAGATAGCAAAAGTACAGGGTCTGGCAACCACCAATCAAGTGTTAACATGGCAAGGGCCTTTGTCTGAATGTGTATAAAGGATCTGTAAAATGTGTGTAAGACAAAGTTTTTGTACTAAGGTGCAAAGCTCTCCTTTCTTCTGCAGAATAAAGCAACTCTTCCTTATCCCTGTCTGGCAGTTATTGGCTCTCAGCTAGGTGGACCCAATATTTCGGTGACATTCCCATTCACATACAATTCCCACCAGGGCACCCAGCCCCACAGCACCCTGCCCCATGGACTCACCTTGTCCTGGGGGAGTAAGAGACACGGCATGGGCAATGGCTGACAGCACTGACTGCTCTGCCAGCCCAATCCGAAGCTTCCCGCCCAGGGACCTGGAATACACAAAGAAAGACAGAGACACATCATAAGGCTGTGGGTCAGGATTGAGGGGCATTGGCTGAGCTGGCAGGGGGGTGGAGGGGAGCCCAGAGCTGGGATAGCAGTGGGTTGTGGATGGGGATTGAGGACCACAGCAGAGCTCGGCTGGGGGTGCGAAGCCCAGGGCTGGGACAGTAAGGGGCTGCAGGACAGGACTGAGGAGCACAGGCAGAGCTAGGCAGGGAGGAAGGCAGGAGGGGGCCCAGGGCTGGGACAGCAGGGGGCTGCAGGTGGGCAGAGCCCCGGGCTGGGATAGCAGCATGCTGCAGATCAGGATCGAGAGGCAGCAGCAGAGCTGTGGGGAGCTCAGGGCTGGACTGAAAGGTTCTGGCAGAGCCATGGCGGAGCAAGAGAGCAGCTCTGGCCAGAGGAGCAGCATGGTGATACTGACACAGACCTCGCCAGGCCCTGGGATGCAGGAGGGATAGCATGACTCACCGAGTGATGTAGCGAGCTTCCGAGTGCCGGCAGGCCACAAACAGCCCTTTGATGATGTCGATCTTCTTGTTCATGGACTGTGTGTGGGGGGAGGACAGACAGCCCAGCTGAGCCAAGCCTGGGCCAAACACACTGGGCCAGGAGGGGGCTGCAGCATCCACCAGCCTGGCTGACTGCTGCACCCCCTGCCTTGTCTTCTGCTCCCACATGGTCTCCACTCCCATTGCCTGTGCCCCCAGGCCCTCCTCCCCAGGCCAACCCGGCCCCAGGCAGTAGCTTAGGCCCTTGGGGAAGGGCTGCATCACAAATGTAAACCTCCCCCCCCTCCCTGCACCACCCCTTCCATGGTTATTACAGGGGGCTGCAGGCCAACACCCTAGCATGGGAGCAATGGCGCAGAAAGCCCTGTTATCCTGAGGAGCCAGCCAAGAGGTGGCCATGCCAGCCCCAGAGCCAGAGGCCTTGGCAGGGCCAGGAACACCTGGGGCACTTCTCCACCCCTCTTGGGGGCCAGCCTCTCTAGGCAGCCAGTAGCTGTGAAAAGCTTGAACGCTCTGCATGCCCAGGGCCGAGCTGGCTACAGCCCTGCCAGAGGGACGCCGAGCCAGGTCAGACAGGGCCAAGCGCACCAGCTCCACCTACGCGAGCAACCCCATCCCACTCACAGCACTGCCTGTCATCCTGGCAATCTCTTGTAGCTTGCTGAAGACCCCGGCAGCACTCAGCTTGGGTGGCGTGAACATGGTGCGCTGGTTGCTGCGGCTGCTCTCAGCTACCAAGCCCAGATCCCCCTTCTCCTGGGCCTCGGCTTTGATCTGATCCAGCTGGCGGCCTGCAAGCAACAGGGAGGGAGGGAGGGAGGGAGGTTCCCAAGCTGGTAGCTTACACAGCACACCACAATGCCCTCAGGACATGGCTGGCCTGACCAGCTTCCCCCACCCCTTTGCCATTCCCCAAACGAGCGGGCCTGCTGCTCAGTGCAAGTCAGGGTGCCCAGGCACCAGGGAGGGGCACATCAGCTATTGCACTGAGGCTTAGGGCCCAGATCCCCCCGCTGCTGGGGGCTGAAGGCTATTCCCTTCTGGGTGGGCCCAAAGCAGGCAACGGCCAGACCCTGGCTAGGCAGGCAGTGCTAGGAGATGGGGGCAGCCTCTTGGGGCCCCTCTCTTTTGGGGCCAGCCCCTCCATTTGGGGTGGCAGCTTGGCCTGTCCAGATTGCAAATACAGCAGGGATTTCTCACCCAGGCTGTGACACCCCCAAACCCGTTACACACACCAGTGTCTCTCCCAACACTCAAGTCAGTGCACCTGCAACTACAGTGCTACCTGTGCATGTACCAGTGCATGCTGGGAAAATCTGGGCAGCTCAGCCCTAGTACCCCAAAGACTGAGCCTGGAGACACACAGAGACCAGCACCTGGAGTCATGCACTCTGGGAGGGGGAATGCTCACTGGTCACAGGGAGACAGCCTTGGCCCTCGGACGCTATAGGCTACTGTGGTAACTCAAAGTGAGCACACCCTATGCCAGCGCCACCACGCCTATAAGTGGTTAGAAAGCTGCAGCATGACCAGGGTCCCACTGCCCGGGAGCCGCACACCTGACACCCAGAGTCAGCAGGGATGAAGGCCATAGCACAGCCAGGGGCCTCCTGCCTGGTCCCTACCTGTTGCCTGTGCAACAGCCTTCATGAGGATGGTCTCGCCGATGCCCAGCTCCAGCCCCTTGTAGGCAGGGCCCAGGCGGTTCAGACAGAGGTAGATGCAGGGCAGAATGTCAGATGGTGACAGGGCGATCACTGAGCGGAAGAGGTTGCTCAGAGTCTCAATGTTCTTCAGCCTGGAACACACACACAGAATGAGGAAAGGGCGTCACCCACCGCTAACGCAACCTAGCAGTCCAGGTGCAAGCAGCACAACAGGGCCTTACCGGGCAGACACCTCCTCGATCCGCTCAAATGTCCGAGCCACAGCCAGGTAGGGGACCCTGCAGAGACAGACACAGGTCTGTCAGAAACACCACCCCAGCACATTTCCTCGCCCTGCGACCACGGGCTAGTGGGGAGAGCAGCGTGGCAGGATCCACGACTCCTGGGGTCTATTCCTGACCCTGGCAGGGGAATGGGTTCTAGTGGTTGGAGCAGGGACAGCTAGGAGCCAGGACTCCTGGGTTCTATTGCCTGCTCTCCTGCCAGCTCACTGGATGTTCCTAGGCCCATCACCTAGTCCTGCAGCCCCCCCACGCACCTCCCAAGGAACTTGCTGTAGCTTCAGCTGCAAGCATACCACTGAAACTCAGAGCCTTGGGCCAGGCCAACAGACTCGACGCGCCACACCTAAGACTCACACTGCAGCTCTGTCTGCCCTAGGGAATCTCACACATGAATCCCCAGGGCAGCCCAACCCCCCCTGCCCCGTCACTCCTCAATGAAGCATTTTAGGCGAGGTGCTTTCCCCCACTGCCAGTGCAGAGCACCCTGCTGCTCTTCTGGGACCAGATGTGGCACGAAGGAGGGAGCACTGCCCTCTTCATGGCCCCCTCACCTCTGACCATGCCCCCAGCAGGCGTCCTGGACGGGGTGGTAGCTGCTCTTTGAAGGATTGTACTCCATGGGGTCCAGTGGCACAGCTGGCTTGGAGAAACTGGAGGGATCACAAAGCCAAAGAGAGATAGGAAGCCACCAAGCCAAGTACACAGGCCCCACCGCACTAGTGTTTCTGGGAGTCTCCCAACAATTTGCTTGCACTAGCACCCCCAGCGAGGAGAGCCCAGCACAGGTAGCAACAGGCACCATTATTGCATGGATGAGACAGGCACCCAGTCGCACCAATGCCCCCATCCGGGAAGCTGCAGTGTCACAGGAAGTTCTGTGTGCACGTAGGCCTGGGTGCAGCCCAGGGTGTATGTTGGCTGGGATGTGCTGCCCTTGCAGGAATTGTACCTCGCAGGGGGGAGGACTTAAACTGACGCTGCCTCCTGCCATCCCCAAAAAGGGCCATGCTTGCCTGGAAGAGGGGCAGGGGCCAGGGAAAGGCTGCCGCCCCCACTAGGAGTACCATCCCACACAGGTACTGGCCAACAGTGTGTTTGTTCTCCCACTGCGTGGGTGGGGCGTAGCACCAGGCACAGGAGATGCTCCATGCCCACAGCTCCCTACCTGCCAGCTGTGCCATCACTCCCATTGCTGCTCGCTGTGGCTGAGCCAGTTGGGGCAGGTGGTATCTCCACTGCTGCACGTTCATCTGCCTTCCCTGCCTTTGCCACTGGCACCTTCTTGGGGGCTATGTGGGATGTAAGGTGCCAACACACAGCACTTTATTCATTGGGGGAGAGCAGGCCTACCTGCCTGAAAGATACCCACAGGGGAGCCCCACTGCCTTTAAAGCGAGGCCTCCCTCCCCGGGATCTGCACACATCAGCTCTCCACACCCAACTCCAGATCCACCCAGCTCCCATGCCCCTCCCCCAGATCCACCCATGCTGGGGGCCAGGATGGCTTCCCATCCCCTCCCTGGGTCTGCCCATCCTGGGCCAGGACTGCTCTCCCACCTATTGGGAGGTGACCCTCCACCTGGGCGCAGCTCTGCTCTGGAGAGTGCCAAGAACAGTGGCGCTGAGCCTTGCTGGCCACATTTGCTACATTTATGAGGTGGTTTCCTACATGGCAGCTCCAGATCGGAGAGCTCAGTTGGGGACAGTTTGACCCCACACAAGCAATGGATTATGCCTCATGCTGGAAACCAGCTCCCCAAGCCCAGCCCTCACCCCAGCCCAAGGGTCCCTGAACCAGCGGGGCTACACTGCCCCCACACTCACCAAAGAAGCTGGAGATGGCTCTGCTGGGCTTGGGTGGCTCAGGCTTCTCCTGGGCTCCCCCTCCAGCGCGGTCCTCTTCTCCCTTGTTCACAGCCCCCTCCTCTGAAGTGCCATTAACTTCAGCCAGTTCTATCTCCGAATGCTGACCTTTCACCTCTTGCATTTCCATGGCTTCTTCTTCCTTTGCTCCCCTGCCTGCCTCATCTCCTGGGCCTGCAGCAGAACAGAAGCCCACAGCTGATCAGGCACACAGGGTGCAGGGAGGGACCCCATGCTCAGGCACCTGGTTGACCCATGCAGCTGGGGATGAGGGGTGAGAGCCAGTCCCAGAGGATGGGTTCTACAACAGTGGTTCTCAACCAGGGATACACATACCCCTGGGGGTATGCAGAGGTCTTCCAGGGGGTACATCAAGTCATCTAGATATTTGCCTAGTTTCACAACAGGCTACATAAAAAACACTAGCAAAGTCAGTACAAACTAAAATTTCATACAATGACTTGTTTATACTGCTCTATATACTATACACTGAAATGTAAGTACAATGTTTGTATTCCAATTGATTTTATAATTATATGGTAAAAATGAGAAAGGAAGCCATTTTTCAGTAATAGTGTTCTGGGACACTTTTGTATTTCTAAGTCTGATTTTGCAAGCAAGAAGTTTTAAAGTGAGGTGAAACTTGGGGGTACGCAAGACAAATCAGACTCCTGAAAGGGGTATACTAGTCTTGGGAGCAGTGCACTGCTCTACACAGGATGCCTACAGCAAGCTCACTGCTACCACCTCCTGGTTGCAGATATGGTAGTGCAATACAGGCCCCTGCATCAGGGGAGTACTCAGGTCTTGAGCACCCCAGGGAAAGGCCACGCAAATAAGCCCCCAGCCGGGAGACACAGATCCCCTTGGGGGTGTCACTGGCAGCAGGACCCTCTGGGAAGCAGCAGGAGACATCCAGGGAAGGGAAACCCGAGGCTCTGCATTCCCAGAGCAGCTGCTGGCACACTCTTACCTTGCTCTTCCCGGCATCTCTTGGCACTCGGCTCCTCATGCCTGTTGTTCTCCCTGCTAGTTGGCAGCTCTATTTTGCGTTTGGGGATCTGCTTGCGAGCTGAGGAGCAGAGGTTAGAGTCAGCTTCCTGCAAACTACTGTGAGGGGTCTCTGGAGCCTGCCCCAAGCCTTTGGACCGGGACAAGTTGTGGGAAAAGGGGGGGTGCGGAGTCCAGAGGTGAACAAGTGCCAGGGTGCAGAAGCAGGAGCAGCACTGGGTTACAGAGAGCATGCCAGGCCAGCACAGTCACCTACAGCACCCAGTGAGGCCAAACTCATCCAGAGGCCCCTCTGGCTTTAGGTGACCCTCAATTCTCCAGCTGACTTCAGTGGAGTTTGGGTGCTCGGCCCCTCTGAGAATGGGGCACAGCTCGGCACCCAAGATCAGGCCCTCGTGAACGCTGAGGCCTGAGTGATTTAGTGGGCAGAGTGAACATGGCAGCCATAACACAGTTGTGCTGCAGAGAGGCACCAACACTGCGTCTCACTCTACATAGTTCTACCAGCTCCAACCTTCCCCAAGACTTAGAGTTCAGAAAGACAGAAGCCCAAGCCAGCAGAAAGCCAAAAGGAAAGAGAGAACAGCAACCAGAGAAACATCTCCTGGAGCCCAGGACCCCGTCAGTGAACGCACACATGGGCAGGTCTCTGTCGGGGCCCAAGGGAGAAAAGGCAAACGAGCAGCATGGATGGGATTTAATGAGGAGAGATCAACAAAGCATGGCCCAGGGAGAGCGCAACACATTAACTGCTGGCAATTACATTGTTCATAGCCTTCGAAGAGCAAGCAGAACACAGACACTGGTTAGACTGATTTGCTGGGAACAACACAGGGCAGGCAGGGATCATGTGCAGCTTGGAAAAACACTGGTCAGGCAGGAGAGAGATGCATGTCTCTGTACAAGAAAAGCAATGGCTGGAGAGCTGGGAGCCTAGAGTCAGTGCCCTTGCTGGACCACCAGGAGGAATACAGGCACAGTTGCCCGGCACTGTGACAGGAGACACAAAAGAGGGGCTGCTCAGGGCAATAACATGGGGAGCCCTCTGGGCCATTTCGGGTCCACGCAGGCAAGGCTCCCTGCTGGTGTGGAGTCAGGCCGAGGGTGGAGACAGAGCCCCGGCACCAGCACAAGGTCACTCGTCCTGTCCCACAGAAGCAGTGACCCATGGGATCCAGCCCGTCTCCTGTGGCTGTCCTACCCAGAGCCTTTGGAGAAGAACCAGGGAGTCATCTATAACTGACTATTATTCTGCCTGATTGCATGGGGCCTAAGACACCTGCTCAGGACCCCTGACAATGGAAATAAGGCCCTGGTAGCCGGGTGATCCATCCTAAAGTGGGCTGAACTATGGAGGCCCACTCTGGGAGAGTGCAGGTAGAGGCCTGCCACTTGGAAAGAGTGCCCAAGGAGAGAGTGAGGGCATGATCACATCCGGGCAGGGTCCTTACCGGTCCTGCGTCTGGGGATGCCAGCATGGTCGATGGCAGGGGAGTCAGAAAGGGCCGGGCTGTCTCCAGCGGAGTGGCTACTGCTTGGTGAGGGGCTATCCGCAGAGAGATCAGACTGAGGAGTTTGCATAGGCTCCTGAAAGACAACCCCCCCAAGAGTGCTACAGGCAGGACAGAGACATAGAACACAAACCACAACCCACCTGGCTGTATCACTAGCACTGGGCAAGGTGGGGTGGGAGCAGCACTCAGCCCCAAGAGAGGGGTCAGCATGGGCCCTTTCAACAGGCTCCTGGAAGAAATTTGGGTGGGGGTTCCAAGGAGGCCTATGAGAGATACAGGGGGCACAACAGCCACCTTCAGGAGAGCTCCAAGTGGAGGGAGGGGGCACACACAGACAGGTCTCTGTAGCAGCACAGAGGACACTGTACTGTATGTACCTCTCCCACCAGCAGAAGGCACTCTGCCCAGGACACACTGCAGGACTACCATTAGGGGACACATACAAGAGGGAGCCCAGAATCTCACTGGAGTGAAGGGCACTAAGGCAAGGCATGGAGGAGGCATTGGGCTGGTGCAGGCCGAGTGAAGGGCACCATGGGGGGTCAGGGGGAGAGACTGGGAGTGCGCCGAGGATACCTGCTTGCTGCTGGCTTTCTCTGAGCTTTTGTCCTGTATGGGATCCACCTCTGCTTGGGCTGTCAGCACGGCCTCCTCCTCGTCACTGTCGCTCTCCAAGACCCGACGCAGGGGCCTCTTGGCAGTGGATTTCACTGGGGAGTCCACACAGAGGCTTAGGCCATTTCTCTGCAGCACAGCTGCCTCTGACACCCTGTAACGAAGCTGTGGGTCAGAGAGGATGGCCCCGGAGCCAACACCAGCAAGACCTCGCTCCAACTGCCCCTCATGGTGCGTAACGGAGCCTGGCAGTAACTCACTGGCTGGTTGAGTCCTCTTCTGCTGGCAGTCTGATCTTCTCCTCCTCCTTCACTGCCTTCATAGGCTGGAAAAATGACCTGGCCAAAGCAACAGAGACAGAAATGCCTGACTAGCACACCTGCATAGGCAGACTAGACAGCCTCTTGAGGAAAGGAAATCCCTTTGGCCCAGCACAGGAACCCATCAAGGCTCCCACCAGCCACTTGATATATTTAGTCATACAGGTAACAAGCTGCAGTACAATGAGAGAAAGCCCTGTATTGGCAGCCCCAGGCTCTCTAACTGCATGGAGGTCCAACAGAAGGGCCTGGAGTGCTCCAGCAATACCCAGAAAAACTGCTGAATTGCCCCACCCATGGGCTCACTGCATCACCCTGTCCGCCTAGCTGAAAGCCAATAACAGCCAGACAGGGATAAGGAGGGGCACAGGATAACAGCAAGAGAGACAGGCCAGGAGACCCAGGGAACAGCCTCAGCTCTGAAAGGCAATGCACCTAACAGCGCAGGCAGGGCCTGTGCCTTCCCCAGTGGGCTGAGACATGCCACTGGGGGCAGGGAAGCACAGGCGGGCTCTGCTGCCACGGGGATGGAGGTGCGAGGGCAGGGGGCTGGCAAGAAACAACCAGCCTCTCTCCATCCCCTGCTCCCTCACCACTCCCGTCACTAGTGGGACAGCAAGGGGGTGCCGAGGCTCCAGCCCCCCGGGGGGCATTACTTACGTGATCGGGCGCTGCATCGTGGGGGGTGGGGGGCGCTGTCGCTGCAGGCCAGGCAGATGCAAAGCCCTTCTGACACGTCAGCTGCTCTGGGACCTGTGAGCCACGCACCAGGGATCGCTCAGCGCCCCTCCACCATGGCGGCTCCAGCTGCAGGCAGAAAAGGGGACAGAGGTGAGAGGCCCCCGAGCTGGCCCAAGAACTGAACCTGGGGCAGAGCAGGGCATTAGTCCGCAGCACAGACAGGAAGGTGAAACCACCTGCCTAGGCATTGAGCCCAGTTCCCGCTGCTCAGCCCCGAGCCAGGGTCCAGGGCACGGAGCAGAGGGGGCAGCTGCCCCCTGGGAAGCACCAGGGTCATTGCTAGAGACTGGATTCCCTGGACCAGACTGGGAGTCGGCCTGGCAGTGGGGGGGGGCAGGGGTGGGGGGGGGGGGTGGCTGGGGGAGCAGGTGGCCTGATTGAGGGCCAGGTGTGGGTGCATGGCTGGGGGAGCAGGTGGCTGGAGGAGGAGGGGAGGGGCAGTTAGCAGAGAGAAGCGCAGGGGGCGTTGGAAGAGGGGATGGGGCAGGTGAGCAGTAGCTACTTTTCCCGCCATTTCTGCCCCACAGGCGCTGCGCGCGGTCGTTGGCCCTCAACGTTCTATCCCCAACAGTCCCCACTCCAGCGGCCGGGGGAGGGGGAGGGGGAGGGGGCGCGCGCGCGCGGCTACCTGCGGGTCTCACGCCCAATTCCAACCCGGGGCTCGCGCCTCCCACTGCCCTTTCGCGGGGAAAATCCAATCCCGTCGCGTTCCGACAGGCACCGAGCTCCTGACGTCACAACAGCCGACGTGCGCTGCGCACGCAATCCAAAAACGAGCGCGCTACGCCCGCTGGGAAATGTAGTCTTGGTAGCAGCAGAATCTCCGGGCTCGCCAAATATACCCAGGGGCATGCTGGGAAATGCAGCCTCACTCCTGCTAATGTCTCACCTACCCAGGGGCATGGTGGGAAATGTAGCCTCACTCCTGCCACTCTCCAACCCCCACCCGTCCAATCTACAGTCCCTGGAGCACTCCCCCATGGTGCCCTATGGCATCCCTGCCCCCACCCCGGAGCACTCCCCCATGGTGCCCTATGGCGTCCCTGCCCCACCCGCCACCCCGCATGGCCTATTTGCCCAGCTCCTGGAATCCCCATGTTGTTGCCTGGGAACCCCTTGGCCACAGTGCTGGGCAGGGGTCACAGGGCTGCTCCCCTCCCGCTCTGCCCCGGGCTAGCGCCCGGCCAAGCCACCTGCGCATGCTGCCCAGGGCAGAGGTCCAGTCCATTACTGTGTGGCTCTCCAGGCTCAGCCCCTCGGTGGGCACTGAAGGTGCCAGGGACTCTGCTGGCTCCTCCTTCCTGGGGGTGACAGAGCAGTGGCCTGCGTCACTGCCAGGACAAGGCGCAGACATGACCCTGCCACTGTCCCATGGCATGAATCAGTTGCCAGAGCTGACATCAAAATTAGTATTGGCACTGAGCAGCAGAGTTACCACATCCTGGAGCTGAGCAGGGCAGGTCACACCTCCCCTACCTGAGTGGGGCCAAGCTCTCCAGCTGCCCAGGCAGATGTCCCTGCACTGGTTACGCTATGGGCACTTTGGGATCTTTTCCACACACCCAGGCCTCTAGAGACGGACTTTTTAAAGCAATGAAAGCTGAGACTGTGAGAAGAGCCAGCAGCTGGAGAGGGGTGGGGGCATGGCACCAGTTGACTCAGAGCCCTGGCACCACAGCAATGTGCACCGAGCTGGGCAGCCCCAGATTTGGCCCTGAAGGAAACCACAGAGCCATCAGAGCACGAGGGAATTGAGGGAGGAGCTGTAAGCCAGGAAGGGTCAAAAAGGAAAATATACGTTTATTGAATAAAATGTATTCTCTGTACAAAGAGAGCGTCACACCACATCATCCACAGACCCACCTCTGACAGCACAGATACCCCAGAGCATCACACCCCGCATGGCACCATCTGCCCCTGCCAGCACAGACACCCCAGAGCATCACACGTCACGTGGCACCATCCGCCCACCCGCCCCTGCCAGCGCAGACACCCCAGAGCATCACACCCCGCATGGCACCATCCGCCCACCCACTTCTGCCAGCGCAGACACCCCTAGAGTGTCAAACTCTGCATGACACCATCCACCCACCAACCTCTGACAGCACAGACACCCCAGAGCGTCACACACCGTATGGCATTATCCGCCCGCCTCTGCAGCGCAGAAACCCCCGAGCGTCACACCCAAAATGGCATGATCCGCCCACCCACCTCTGCAGCGCAGACACCCCAGAGTGTCACACCCTGCATGGCATCATCCACCCACCCACCTCGGCAGGCGCAGACACTCCAGAGTGTCACACCCCACATGGCAACATCCACCCACCCACCTCTGCCAGGGGCTCTGGGTGCTCTCAGCTACGGGCCAGCAGTGCCCAGCCCACCATGGGTACACAGACACCTTGGGATCTCTACCCGGCCTGGGCTGCAGGTGCTCTGAGCTATGGGACAGCAGCACCCAGCCCATGATGGGCACCCAACCCACTGAGGTCCCTGCCAGGCACTGGCTGTGGGTGCTCTCAGCTACAGGACAGCACCACCTGCCACTTTCTCTTCTCTGTGAAAACAAGTCAAACAGGACCAGCACCCAGGTATCCCCTCCATCCTGACGTCATCGCAGGGCACCCCCATCGTGGCAATGGGCTGGCTTCTCCCCTGCTGTGCGAGCTGCAGATGTGCAGCCAGCCCCGCACCAGTGCCTGGCCCCCTGACTTACACAGTAAGCACCCGGAGCAGCTGGAGTCCCTGCCCCACGGCCCTAGCATGCGCCCAGCAGTGCTGCCCGGTTCCTGTGCAGCAGGCCAGGGTCAAAGAGCGCCAGCCCGGTGCGCAGGCGTGTGGCGAAGAGGTGGCGGCAGGGGAGCAGGCTGGAGGTGTAGATGGAGCAGGAGCAGCGCGTCAGGGCTTGATCCATGGCGAACTCAGACAGGCCGTCGTGGAGCAGATAGCCCTCGGCCGTCTCCTGGAAGCGGTAGCGGCCGTGCCGTGCAAAGCCCAGCTCCTCCTCGATCAGGCCAGCCGGCTCTGGCTTGCAGATGGCACGGTAGTGCGTGGCCAGCTCTCCCTCGTCCAGCTCGTGGGCCTCGCTGCCCACCTGCATGGCCAGCAGGTCCAGCATGCACTGGGCCACGGTGGGCGAGGGGCTGAGGGCTGCCAGCAGCCGGCGCTGGTGCTGCTTGAGCAGCTCGCAGGCGTTGACGTTGCGGGCCGTCTCAAAGGCCCAGAACTGCACCCACATCTCACTGCGCGGCTGCCAATGGCGCTGGAAGTAGCGCACGAAGCGCTGGGGGAGAATGGTCTTCATCTCCTGCACCGCCTGCTGGTAGGCGGCCGGCGACTTGGCTGCAGCCAGCCGGCAGAGCAGGGGCCAGATGCGCTCATCTTCGGCGGCACCCAGCTCCTGCGCCTTGCTGAAGAGCGTCTCTAGTACCTGGGAGCGGCAGATCTGCACGCGGGCATTGGGCAGCAGCTCCTTCACCGCCTCCAGGTGGGCAATCTCCACGCCCAGCGTGATGCACCGCACCTGTAGCTTGACCTCAGGCACGCTCTGCACCAGCGAGGCCAGCGTGAAGCGCAGCAGGTCGGGCGTCTCCCGCTGCGTCAGGCAGTAGGCCACCTCGCGGCCGCGCCCCGCCCCGTCCACGCACAGCACCGAATACAGGTCAAACTCCTCGTTCAGCCCCACCATGCGGTCGAAGAACAGCATGAGCGGGAAGCGCCGGCTCAGCGCCATCATGCGCGAGCTCAGGAAGAAGATGGTCTGGACGATGACCTTGTCCTCCATGAAGACCAGCTTGACCTTGGCGCTGGGGTCGCTGGCGAAGAGCCCGTCCAGTACGGTCAGCACGTCCAGCACCCCATGGTCACGGCTCTTGCAGTAGGAGAGCAGGCGCCGCACGTCTGGCCCCCCCACAAACTGCTTGGAGATCTTGTTGGTGGTGCGCACCGGCAAGCACGAGTTGGCCATCAGGTAGCCCTTCTTGAAGTAGTAGGCGAACTCGATGGGGCACAGGGCGTGGTTGTGGGCCAGCTGGCACTCGGTGACGATCAGCCGGTCCTTCTTGGGGCTCATCTTCAGCACAATGCTGGCACAGCAGCCCTTGTGCTGCCCCCTGTGGGCAGAGAGAGAGGCTGAGCAGGCTGGGACCCCAGCACACGCCTCACCCATGGGCCAGGAGGCAGCTGTGGGAGCTGGCAGGGTGGGGCCTATGCTCACCCCATGCCTGGCGGGTACCACAGCATACACCTGTGTGCATGGAGCCTCCACGCAGCCCTAGTAGTAGGGGCCTGGCTCACCGGCTCGCTGCCCTGGGGTGAGGGCACCCCACTGCAGGTCTCCTGGGGAGACCCCAGAGCCACGCCAGCTGGAACTCAGCTATTGTGCTGGGAGGGGGGCTTCCAATTGGGGGGCTGAAGAGCCCAAGCAGATTACTGCATGGAGAGGATGGGACAGAGGGACCCATGGCATCGATTGGGACAGAGACAGGTACCTCTGCTCCCCTCGCTCATGAGGCAGGAACCAGGACATGGGCAATGAGACAGGCAGAAATCCCTCCCCCACAGTGCTATAAGCCTGGGGAACTCACTACCACAAGGAAGCGCTGGGCCAGAGCTGAGCAGGGCTCAGAGACGGGCTGGGCCTTTGTCTGGATAACAAGAACACCCAACATTACTGAGGGAGTGTGGCCTACTGGATAGAGCTCTGCACTGGGACACAGAAAAGCTGGGCTCTGTTCCCAGCTCTGCCTGGTGTGCACCCTTGGCAGGGCCGGCTCCGGGGTTTTTGCTGCCCCAAGCGGCGGGGAAAAAGAAAAAAAAGCCACGATCGGCGGCGCGTCGGCGGCAGCTCCACCGCGCCGCTTTCTTCTTCGGCTGCAGGTCCTGCCCTCCGAGAGGGACCGAGGGACCCACCGCCGAATTGCCGGACGTGCCGCCCCTTCCCCTTGGCCGCCCCAAGCACCTGCTTGCTGCGCTGGTGCCTGGAGCCAGCCCTGGCCCTTGGGCAAGTCCTGTCCCTTCTCTGTGCCTCAGTTTCCCCTCTGTACAGTGGGTAAAGGGCTGTGAGCTCTGCGAGGGAAAGGACTAGATAAGAGCTGGGGACTGTTATTAATTATTAGAGTCAGGATTAAAGCCCCCGCAACGGGGCAGGGAGATAACCCACCTCCCAGCCAGCCACAGACTGACAGGAGCCGGGGGGAGTTCCCTGGGGCAGGCTATGCCAGCACTCCCCACTGCAGGGATTCGGGCAGCTCCCTCAGCAGCAGCAGGTGCTGCCACCCTCGGATATGGAGGTAGGCAGCCTGGGGCTGAGCCAGTCTGGCAGTGCCGAGGGACGTAAGCTTTGCCCCATCACAGCCTCACCCGCCTAGGGTAACGCGCACTGACAACAGCCACTCATCTGCCCCTTCAGCCACACACCTCTCAGCCCCAATGGGACATAGGAAAAGGCTACAGAGGGATCCCGTGCCTGGGGTGTGGAGACTCTTTATACAGGATTCCTTGCCCGGTACTGCGATGCAGCTGCCTCTGGGGTGGGACATGAGGGCCGTTTAAAAGTCACACCAAACCAATGCACAACAGTTGAGATCAGGAAGAGGAGTCATACAGAGAACAGAAATGGGGGTTGTAGGGAGACAGACTAGCCATCTTAGTGTTTCAAAAGGATACCTGGGTTCTCACACCAGCTCTTAAGGGAACTCTCCATGGGATCGTTTTAACTACGAGCGAGGAAGACTCCAATTTTACATCTAGATCAGCCACTCAGCTCCCTTCAGCACAGGCCCCCTAGTGCTGCCCTGGGCATCGGGGACAGCACTTACTGCCAAGGGACAGCACCCTCTACTGAGTCACCACCCCCCACTTCTTGCTCTCCACAGCAAAGGCCCCCTAGCACCACCTGGGCATTGGGGCCAGCACTAACTGCCAGGGGAGAGTGCCCCCTCCTGAGACCCACACAGCAAGGATATGGGCTCCAAGCCCTGGCCCAGTTAGACCCTGCTTTGCAGGTGGGCTCTGGTGAACACCACGATGCACAGGAGTCCCATGGGGAACATGGTACATGCCCAGTTTGGTGCTGAACCGTCCTGCATAGCTGTGTCCCTGTGCCTCCCCCAGCCCTTCTGCGTGTGCTGCCCCTCCACCGAACTGCCCACCCCCCGTGCTCTGTCCACAGTGGGTCCTCACCCCTGGTCGGGCTTGCTGGAGCCACGAAAGTCCTTGCAGACCAGGCGCACGGAGCTGTACTTGAGGGCCTCCACCACGTCGGGCCGTGGGGGCACCGTTGCCCACTTGCACTTGCTGAGCGGCACCGAATTCTTGACGAAGAACAGGACCTTCCTGCGCTCGCACCAGGCGTCGAAGAAGGCGCTGAACTCCTCCCACGAGAAGAACTCCTTCTCCTGCAGCTCGTCCTCCTCCATCCCGCGGGGCGGCTGAGCCTGCTGGGGACAGCTGGGGTCAGCACCAGGACGGGCAGGGGACAGAGCTCAGTGCTGGAGACACACAGCACGACAGGCAACCCTCAGACCGCCTCCTGACCTGGGACGGAGCAGAGGGACACCAGGAACGGGCTCACAGCTGCACGGACTCAGCCCCCCAGCCCGCGTCCTCTGGGCATGTGCCCCTGCTGTTCAGCCCAACCACCGCTGCCCCCCAGTAACTGCTGTGACTCCCCAGTATCAGCCTCAGGGCAGCTCTGGTGTGACACGGAGGGAGGGGCAGGAGGGAGCTGGGGTATGTATCAAACCCCCACTGTGTATGGATCATGTTCCCATGCAGCTCCACAAACCCCTCAGCCCGTGGGGCACCCCACACCAGCAGCCTGTTCTCACACACGCCCATTGTCTGTCTCTCTCTCTCTCACACACGTTCAGCGGATTGACAGCTGGCTACGTGACAGCTTTCCGAGCGCAGTCGTCCGTGCGCCCCCCGTCAAGTGGGCTCTGCAGGGACCAGCTCTCGGCCTGACGCTAGTCTTCATTTTCATCAGCGATCAGGTAGGAAATACAAACTCCCAGCTGAGAACAGCATTCACGGCTGACACACAGACCAGCCGAGCGGTAATTAGCGACGAGGCCAGAGCAGCCAGACCGGGCGAGCTGCACGGCTTGGTCAGCTGGGCCCATTCAAACAGAATGTGTTTAATGCAGCCTGATGCAAGGTCATACCTCTAGGAACAAGGGATGCAGGTCACACTGACCACACAGGGGCTGGACCCTAGAAAGCAGGGACGCGGAAAGGGATTTAGGGCGCATAGAGGACAAACACCTCAACAGGGACTCCTAAGGCAATGCTGTGGCAACAAGGGCTAAAGTGACCTTTGGCTGGATAGGGAGGTAGGAGGCAGTTTTCCCTCTGGGTACGGCATTGGTGGGGCAGGCCCTGGACTCCTGCCTGCTGTTCTGGTGTCCATGTTTATAAAGGATGTTGAATAATTGTTGAGGGTGCAGAGAAAAGGCAAAAAAAAAACCCAACCCAAAAATGATTCATGGGCTGGAGAAAATCCCTGCCAGGGAGAGACAGAAAGAGCCCAGGCTGTTTAGCTGCTCAAGAAGAAGGTTGAAAGGCGACTTGGTTACACGTCCCAGAGAGACAATCCCAGGTGCTGAAGGGCCCTTTACTCTAGCAGAGAAAAGACAGAACAAGAGTGACTGGTAGGAAACTAAAGCCAGACCAATTCCAACCAGAAATAAGGCAGATGAGGGTGGCTTCCCCATCACTCGCTGGATTCAGGTCCAGGCTGAATGCTCTTCTGAAAGCTGCTTTAGTCAGATACAAGTTATTGGGCCAAGTAGAGGAGGGTGACTGGCTGAAGTCTCGGGCTGTGTTATAAAGGAGGGCAGGTGACACTTGTCATTGTTTCCATAGGCTGAGCTCTGTGCTGATGGCGTCTCAAGTTTTCTGGAACTAACCCCACCCCATGAGATTCCACAGACAGACTAGCAGCTCTGGCAATTTCACAGGCCAGGGGCTGCCATTTCCCTGCTCATGTGAAGTTTCTATGGTGCAATGCTCTCAGGCACCCTACAGCCACTGCACGTCGTAGTGAACTTCCTATCCCCCCATGTCACAATCACACTGCCCCATTGTGTGTCACACACCTTATCATACACCCTGAGTCATATACATGGGGCCCCAATTTTTATGCTCCCGTCACACAAATTCAGCCCCCTTTTAGTGTCTCACACACCCTGTATCACACTCAGAGCCCTTATTCTGTGTCACACCCTCCCATATCATACTCTCTGTGTCACACACACGGTCCCTCCCCCACGCCGTAGATTCCAAATCCAGAAGGGACCATTGTGTTCATCTAGTCTGACCTCCTGTATAACACAGGCCAGAGACCTGCCCCAAAATAATCCTAGGGCAGATCTTTTACAAAAACATCCAATCTTGAGCCAAAAATGGCCAGTGATGGAGAATCTCACTGTTAACATTTACACCTTATTTCTAGTCTGAATTTGTCTAGCTTCAACTTCCACCCAGTGGATCGTATTAGACCTTCCTCTGCTAGACTGAAGAGCCCATTATCAGCTATCTGTTCCCCATCTAGGCACTTATAGTCTGTGATCATCCCCCCTTAATCTTCTCTTTGTAAAACTAAATAGTTTGAGCTCCCTGAGTCTCCCACTATAAGGCAGGTTTTCCAATCTTTTAATCATTCTTGTGGCTCTTCTCTGAACCCTCTGCAATTGATCAATATCCTTCTTGAATGGTGGACACCAGAACTGGACACCAGTGCCAAATATAAAGGTAAAATACTCTCTGCTGTTACTCAAGACTTCCATTTATGCATCCCAGAATTGCATTAGCTCTTTCAGCCACAGTGTCACACTGGGAGCTCATATTCACCTGACTATCCACCATGATCCCCAAATCTTTTTCAGAGTCACTGCTTCCCAGGAGAGAGTTCACCACATAAATATGACCTGCATTCTTTGTTCCTAGCTGTATACATTTAGCTGTATTGAAATGCATACAGTTTGCTTGTGCCCAGTTTAGCAGCGAACCAGATCACTCCGTATCAGTGACCTGTCCTCTTCATTATTTGCCACTCCCCCAATTTTTGTATTACCTGCAAACTTTATGAGTGATATTTTATGTTTTCTTCTCAGTGGCTCTCAAACTTTTGTACTGGTGACCCCTTTCACACAGCAAGCCTCTGAGTGCGACCCCCCTTACAAATTAAAAACACTTTTTAATATTATTTAACACCATTATAAATGCTGGAGGCAAAGTGGGATTTGGGGTGGAGGTTGACAGCTCGCGACCCCCCCATGTAATAACCTCGCGACCCCCTGCGGGGTCCCGACTCCCAGTTTGAGAACCCCTGGCCGGTCATTGACAAAAATGTTAAACAGCATAGGGCCAAGAACTGGTCCCTGCGGCACCCACTGGAATCACACCCAACCGATGACCATTCCCCATTTACAATTACACTTTGAGACCTATCAACCATGTGCCGTGGTCCATGTTAATTTTATATTGTTCTAGTTTTTTAATCAAAAGGTCGTGTGGTACCAAGTCAAACCCCTTACAGACGTCTAAGTCTATTACATCAACTTTATTACCTATATCAACCAAACTTGTAATCTCATAAAAAAAATCAAGTTAATGTTTCATGTTGATTGGCATTAATTATAGTCCCCTTCTTTACTTCTTTATTAATCAAGTCCTGTATCAGCTGCTCCATTATCTTGCCTGGAATTAATGTCAGGCTGACAGGCCGATAACTACCCAGGTTACCCCCTTTTTAAATACTGGCACAACGTTAGCTTTCTTCCAGCCTTCTGAACTATCCCAGTGCTCCAGGACGTATTGAAAATCAACATGAACGGTCCTCAGCCAGCTCTGTCACACACCCTGTCACACACCCGATCCCAGCTAGCCACCCCTTGTGCTGCACTACCCCAAGCGGCTCGCCCAGCCCCATCGATTCCCCAGCCCCAGTGCCTCTGCCCAGCCCTGCAACCCCGAGCCCTGCACGGAGCTGGGATCGGAGCAGGAGGGACCCAGCGACAGCCCCGAGCATCAGCGTGTGTCCTGTGTGGGTCCAGCCCCGAGCACCAGCCCCGCGCGCAGGTCAACCCCCGCCCCGGCCAGCCCCGAGCTGCAGCCCGCGGCGGGTCCCGTCCAGCTCACCAGCCCGGCAGCACCAGGATGCTCCGCAAGCAGCAATAGCAGGGACCAGAGCCCCCAGCCCCCACAATGCTCTGCAGCCCTCACCCAGCCCCCGCTTCCCACAATGC